AATGAGGATTGGAGTAGTTGGAGAAATGGTTAGAAGAAATTGGGACTTGAACTGGGTGTTAAAGAATGAGTAGAATTTGAAGAGGCAAAGAAGAAGGGAGAAAGCTTTCCAGGCATGGGGCATAGCATGAGCAAAGACATAGAAGGAAGAATTTGGCTGGAATGTTTGTGGGATACTGAATGACTGATCTCACAAAATGGAAGATGTACGTTGGGAATAATTGGGAAATAAGTATTCAGACTCATGCTTGAAACAACTTGGCTTACTTTCTCAACTATTTCCTGCCATTTCTAGGTATCAGAGAGATGTAGGAATACAGGGAGACAAGGATGAATTTCTTGGGTCTTTTACAATAAAGGGAGCTATATGAGGTCATTAATATTATTCGACAGTGGTGGCAATTGGGGTTAAGTGACTTGCCCAGAGTCACACAGCTAGTAAGTGTTATATGTCTGAGAAGGATTTGAACTCAGTACCTCCTGACTCCAAGGCCAGTGCTCTAACCACTGTGCCACCTAGCTGTCCCAGACAATGGAATTTTTAAAACAAAGACTTGTTACCTGCTTCATGAGAATCACATATATCAGAAGAGGATATAGAAAAGATGCCTAAGATATAGCACAGATGGTGAGTTTGCAGCAGTAGTTCATGGGACCCTGGGCCATGAGGGCAGCACAAAAAGAATGGTTGATGACCGTTGGATTTCTGGATTTGCTTGGCAAATGAACCGGAGTGTGCCCACTATTTCTGTAAAAGTTGTGTTGGGATTCACTGTATCATGCCCTCTCTTTATGACTGATATTAGGGTAATATCTGATAATCATCATTTGTACACAGCTTCTGAGACTGTTCCCTGGGTGGAAGTGGAATTGAGAACTAAGTCAGAATGATTGCTGCTGAGGAATGGAAATTTTAGACTTTTATTGGAATGGTTGTACTCAGTCCCTTGGGAGGTTTAATGTTATATCCTTTTATTTTCAGTTCCATTCAGTAAGTGTATTCTAATCTATAATGTGTGTGCATAGACTTTTTTGGGTCACTCAAAGTTGGGAAGGAGACAAAAATCTTAATGTGAATTGGGGGTCCAAGCCAAATAACTTATGGCAATCTTTACATTTTCCTTTCAGTTTTATTTTAGGCGAGGCAATGGAGTGAAGTGACTTGCCCAGGGTCACACAGTTAGTAAGTGTCAAGCGTCTGAGGCCAAATTTGAACTCAGGTCTTCCTGAATCCAGGGCCGGTGCTCTATCCACTGCACCACCTAGCTGCCCCAATCTTTATATTTTCAATCTTAGGCTAAGCAAGCTGAGATAAAACTTGAGTCAAGGCGCTAGGAGACTTGAACAGTCAGTCCATACTTGCATGCTTTGAGGAGGACTTATGGGGAGCTGGAGCAGCCTGAACTCAGTTCACCATCTGGTGGCTTATGCAGGGATTACATTCTATCTCCACCCATTTTCTTTTCCACACTCACTGTCCAAGGCAGGATACCTGTGGAAAGAATTTTTGTACCATACATAATGAGTTAAGTGGGATCATGTTCCAAGAGTCTTTGTGCATCTTAATGAGGAATGAAGAGTGTTGTTGGTAATAGGTGAGTAGTGGACCTGCCTCTAGTGTGACATGGCAGGTAAAGGAAAGCTTGCACTACCATAGATAGCATTAACAGAAGCATAATGTCCAGAACACAGGAGGTGATAGTACAATTGTATTCTGCCCAAGTCAGAGTATATCTGGAACATTATGGTCAGACACAGTCACCACATTTTAGGAAGGGCAAAGACAACCTCAGTAGATTTAGGGGAGAGTGAACAGGATGACAAGGGGACAGGAAACCAAGCAATATGTGGATTGTTTGAAGAAGCTGTGGATCTTTAGTTTGGAGAAGGGGAGACTTAAGGGGAAACATTATAACTGCCTTCCAATATCTGAAGAGCTCTTATGTGGATAAGGTATTGCACTTATGTAGCTTGGTCTCAGAGAGCAGAACTAGCATGAATGGTAAGAAGTTACAGGGAGGCAGATTTAGATTCCATGTAGACAAAACTTCCTAACAGCATCCAAAGTGGAATGAGCTGCTTCAGGAAGTAGTGAGTTCCCTGTCAGGGGAGGTGTTAAAGTAGAGGCTGGCTGATTACTTGTCAGTAGGCAGCCTCTAAGGTGGCTTCTACTTCTGAAGTCTATGATTCTGCCTTCCCTTTAGTACACAGCATCTTCCATGGGCTCAGGTGGCAGGGAGTCCCACTTAAACTGGGCAAGACAAAAAGTAGGGGTGGCCCCATCTCTCTCTGCCAGCTGGAAGGATGGAGAGGGGGAATAGGCTGGTTTTTGTGCCTGAGAAAATGCTGCCTGCCAAATGCCCCCCCTAACTTTAAGGTCCTCACAAAGGGGACTGATAAGGAAGACCAGCCAAGAACTGGGTCACCAGATGCTCCACTGTCAAAAACCTGATGGGGTGATGAGGATGGAAGCAAAATAATGAAACCTAGAAGTTTTTATAGGAAGCCAAATGAGTCATCTTTTCAGGTGGATTCAATGGTCTGTTTTCCCTTCAGCCACTTTATGATACTTTACATTTCACATATGCTGGCATTTTAAAGTTACAAAGCTCTTTCATCACAGCAACCCTAGAAAGCAGGTAGTATTATACTCACAAAGAAATTGAGGTTCAGAAAGTTTATGACTTGCCCATGGTCACTAAGTATCATGGAAAAACAATGGGTTAAAAGTTTTACAGTCAAATCTTACTTTTGGCACCTCTAGTCCTACCTGTAGCTATGTGACCTTGGGTAAGTTATTTTACTTATCCCAGGCTTCAGTTTCCTTTTCTGTAAAATGAGAAATTCAGACCTTCCAGTTCCAAATCTGTGATACAATGATTATTATGCCTTTTTTTATACAGAGGAGGAAACTGAGGATGAGAGATTTCAGTAGATTCTTGCCTGGCTTACACTATTTGCTACAGAGTGGAATTTAATAGGAAGCTGGCTTGCTTTCTACCCTCTCCTTGGGTCAATCTACTGAAGTCCTGAAAGAGTCTCCTCATACAAGGTAGCTTCACCTGCATGTTGGTTGGATACTTCACTCTGTGGAGGACTATTGTGAATTGGGGGTGTATTGATGCTCAGTAAAGGCTGACTGATTGGGAGGGAGGAAGTTTTTTCCCATTCATAGATATAAAGACAACTCAGGTGCCATGAAAGGATGGCTTCTTTTCTCTCCTGAAGATATATTTATTTTTCAAGGAACACAGTCTTTTTAAAAAAAAGTTTACTTAAGCTAAAACTACTATTTCAACCAAGCTCCTTTCTCCTTCATCATCCTACCCTCCTTATTCTCCTCTCTCCCCCCATCATCTGGCCTGATTGAAGCTCTGAATCTGTTAGGTATGAAAAAAGAAGGCATAGGAGGGGGAGTTGCCCTTAGAATCCAAGGCTGTCTCACTGGCAACCTACTACAGAAACTCTCATTACTCTCTTGTTTCCTGGATGAGCAGGAACAACACCAAAAAAAAAAAAAAAAAAAAAAAATACAGCTCAGCAAAGCCCCCTATCTGTAGCCTATCAGAAACCTCCTCTGCAGCTTCATTTCCCTCCCCAGAGCTGCTAGAGTTTATCTCTCTGAATTTAGCTAGGATTGATTAAGTCCTTCCTGCCTGAACCTCAGGGAATAAAAAAGCTCAGATTACTAACTGGTCCTACTTTCTATGCCAAGTCCCCAAGATATCCCAGGCTAGAAGAGTGTTGGTGAGTGGCTGGGCTTCTTGGTGTGTGTGTGTGTGTGTTTTCTTTTGAGCTCAAAGGCCCAAAGGTGGGGGAGCTGTTTAGGATGGGGGACAGTTCAGAGCACTGAAGGGGAGTGCGAAGGGAAGAGTAGAATATTGACCTGGGAAGATATGAGGACAGAAGTTGAGGGGATAGCAGGTGTTCCTGTGTGTGTGTGGGAAGGACATTAGAGCAGGAGAGATTTAGGCGACAGATTTGGTTTGGGTGTCTGTGTTGGGGTGGGGTTTTGGAGCTGAGAGAAAGGAGGGAATGGAAAACAAAATGGAGTGTCTGGTAGAACTGGGAAAGAGTGGTGAGTCGTAGTCTGCTTCCACACTTGTCAAATGAGCAGGTTAGGCTAGATCAGGGGTTCTTAATTTCTGCCCCATGAACTTGCTTAAAAAACCCCCAAACCAAAAAAACTCCACAACATTTTGATAATGGTATTTCAATAGATTCAGTTTTCTTCATAATCTCATGTCTTTTATTTTATGTATCATTTTGATAAGGGGTCCACAGGCTTCCCTAGACTGCCAAAGTGGCCCATGACACTTTGGAACTCCTGTACTAGAGGATCCCCAAGGGCTCTTTCAACTCTAACATTTCATGACTCTTCGTGGGAGAGCTTAATGGTGTACTGGAGAGAGAGCCAGTCTGGGACTGAGGAGGAGCTGGTCAAGTCCAGCTTCTGACACATACTGCCTAACTGATTTCACCTGTGTCTCAGGCAACTGTCTAAGTCTAGAAGTAGGTCAGGTGCTAGCTACATCGCTTTAGGAAGACTTCTCATCAAGAGTTATTTTGCAGTTTAAGCCAATGAAATCGCAGGTCCTGATTTAAAAAAAAAAATGCATGAAACTAGGAAAAGTCCATGTCACTTTCCAGCTGTGTGTCCTTAGGCAAATACCTTCCCCTCTCTGGGCTTCAGTAAAATGAGAGAGTAGGAAGAGATGATCTCGAAAAGTTTCTGCCAACCCCTGTGATCCTGGGATTCCTGGCAGATGAAGTGTCCGCCACCCCCTCCCCCGCGCCCAGTTTTTTGGAGGTTGTTCCTTTTGGGTAGAGGTAGAAGATAAGAGAGAACGAGGGGAAGCCTGGGGTTGTCTGGGCACCGGGCTGCCCCCACCGGGGCAGGTGACATGGGGGTAGTTTGACTTGGGTTCCAGCCCAGGGAGGAAACCTGTGGCCCCGCCTGACTGACTCTCCCCTCCCTTCCTCCTCCCCATCCTTCCCTAGGACTGCCCGGCAGGCGTGGGACTCCTCCGGACATGGCCCACGGTGCCATACTGGCCTGGGCCTGGGCCCTGGCTCTGGGAGCGGTCCAACGGGCCCAAACAGGCTGCGCCGAGCTCGGTCGCTGTTGTCCGGGTCGGGACCTGACGTGCGTCTCCCGGGGCTGGACAGCGGCAGGTTTCTCGCTCGGCCCCCAGCCCTGCTACTGTGACCAGGCGTGCAACGCAGCCGGGGACTGCTGCCAGGATTATGGGAGTGCCTGTCCAGGTGGGAGCCGCACGGGGATGAGCAGGAAGGGTGGGCGTGGGCAGTCTACAGGGACTCAAGAGAGGCGCGGGCGGAGGGTGAGTGAGCCTGGGAAAGGAGCGCCAGAGCAGGGAAAGGGATCTGAGAGCGGGGAGGAGAACTGGAAACTGCCAGGAGCTCGGGAATGTGGAGAGGAGGGAAAGCAGGAGCCTAGATAGAGATCCGGAAGGGATCTAAAAGGTCATCTAGTTCAAACTCCCTCATTTGGCAGATAAGGGAACTGAGTCCCAAGAGGGTGAACCTATTTGCCCCAAAGGCATAGGGTGGAGTGAGGCTATAAAGGGGTCAGTGGAAGTGGATAGGAGGTCTGGGACCAGGCCTGGGGTAGAGGGGCCCTAGTTAGGAATGGGACTATGGATGGTTAGAGGTTAGGACTGGGTGAGGGGGTAGGGGCTCTGGACCTGGCATGTAGTCATGAACCTCAGGCAGGGGCAGGGAAAACCAAAAGGGACTGAGGGATTTGTAAAGGAATGCTTGAGGAACTGGCTGCGACCAGAGATAGGAGAGGGCCATGAGGGGTGGGACCTCCACAGGGCCACCGGTCTAACTCTTTCCCGCCCTCAGAGGGCCTTCATGGTGGTGTCTGGAGTTATTGACCAGTGCCAGTGGCTTGGAACAATAGGACTCAAAACATCACCATCCCTACTATTGTTTTTATTAAAACCATTACCATCATATCCAACACTATCATCATTGCCACTTCCATCATCTGTATTAATAATGAGTGTCCATATGATTTAAGTGAATGCTTATTCCGATGCTTATAGATGCAGATTCTTTAGGATAAAAGGTTATTTTACCTCCCTCCTCTTAAAAAAAGTGAGGCAGCTCACAGAAAGTTGAAGCATTGAGGAGAAGCTTTAGTTCTCGGCCATTAGAGATGCTGTTTCTGCTATTTTTTTGTTCCTTCCCAATGTTAGAATTTTCATCTGTACCTCATTAGGGCTTGGCCAGACCTGGAGCGGTGATGGCTTTTCTCTACCTTTAATGCTGATTATATATGTTATGCTGTGCTGGTAAGAATCCTAGATGAGGAATCAGGAGACTGGGTTCTAGGTCTGATTCTGCCCCTGACTCCCTGTGTGATATTAGGAGTCAGTGTCCTTCCCATTTCTGAGTCTCAGTTTCCACATCTGTAAAATGAGGGGATTGGACTAGATGAGCACTAAGATCCAGCTTTGACATTCTAGCCTTGCGATAACAGTCAGGAGACCTGAATTCTAGCCCCGATGTTGTCCCTGATTCACTGTATAACCTTGGGCAAGCCACTTCCTCTTGGTGAATATCAGGTTTATCTCCTGTAAAATGAGGGGGTTGAACTAAATGATTTCTAGGATTCCCTAGAGCACTGACATAACATAATTCTAAGGTATTAACATAATAAGTTACCTTTTCTGGAGACACCTTCATTTTAAAAGAGGGCACAAGTTCTTAACTAAAGAACTGAGGGAATCACCAGTATTAGACTTTTAGTCATCCATGGGGGAAGGTATTTTTTGTTGGGTGAGGAGGAAGCAGGGGGTGGGAGGGAATTTCATTCCATGTTAAATCATACTAAAGGTACCAGATGTATACTGGTACATCTATCTCTTCTCTGAATATTATGAAACCACTAGACTGGCCCCTTCTAGGCTGTACCTGGAAAACCATCTGCCTAGAACAGCAGGACTGTTTTCTACCTGTACACATCTGGTACCTGCACCTAACTAACTGGCACATGCCTGTAATCATCCCACACATACCTGCAAGGGTGAATCCTCAGGGACTCAGGAGCCTCCTTTTTTTTTTTTTTGGCTAGGCAATGGGGTTAAGTAACTTGCCCAGGGTCACACAGCTATTAAGCATTATGTGTCTGAGGCTGGATTTGAACTCAGGTCCTCCTGAATCCAGGACCAGAGCTCTATCCACTGTACCACCTAGCTGCTCCAAATCACAACTCCTTCTGCCTGGCATTCTTATATACATTTCACAGGTAAGAGAACTGATGCACAGTTTCAGGGTCATGCCCATGCCCTAAGGGATTCTGAACAGGGGCCAGGGATCCCATTTCAGTCCCAGAGAGAAGCCTTTTTATAGTTTCAAATTGTTCTAATTGTTCATCTTCTCTGTCTCTGTCTCTTCCACACTAATATCCATGTTATGTGTTCTGAGGTTCCTTCCAGCTTTGACATTCTATACTCTAAGGTTCCTTCTAGCTCTAATGTTCTACAGTCTAAGGCCCCTTCCAGGGGACATGCCTCTGTGTGTTGTTATTCACTTTTGGAAAGGGAGTGCTTTGGGGCCCTAGGAGGGGGAGATGGGCAGAAAGGACCAGCGGTTACATTGTTTGAAAAGCCAGGGAAATGTTCCCACATTCCTGACCCAGAGCCCTCAAAACCAGTTGATGTTATCAACACTTCATCATTCTCTGGAGTATAAAGAGCTCAGACCAGGGTGGCAGGAGATGGGCAAGAGAGTGGGTGAGAGGGGGATGATAAAGACGATTCGTTATGTTCACCAAAGCTTCTGTTCCCTTTGCCCCATTTTAGGTCCTGCTTTATACGGTAGGTGCCAAAAGACTGTGGGACCAGAAACCGGCTTTCTGATTATGGGCTGGCGCATCTCCATATGCTTATAAACAAATCCCAGATTCAACAAAAATTATTTTAGGGGCTCAAAGCCAAGGAACTGAAAATTTTGTGAGTTCCAGAATCAAGGAAACTATGATCCAAAATCTCCTATTTACAGTATTGGAGAATTCTATTCAATTTATAGAATCAAAGCATTAGAGCTGGATGGGAATTTAGAACATAGAATATTAGAATTAGAAGAGGCTTGAAAAGTAGAGAATGTGACAGCTAGAAATAACCAGAGAACAAAGAATATGGGAACTAAAAGGGATCTAAGATAGAATGTAGAATGTTAGAGCTAGAAGGGACTTTAGAGATCACCTAATCTAACCCCCCTTGCTTTACAAAGGAAAAAGCTGGGACTCAGAGTGGGGAAGGTCACAGAGAGAGTGAGTGAAAGAACTGGAAGTAAAAGCTAGGTGGTTTGACTATGAATCCGGCGCTCTTTCCGCCATGTACGTCTTTATGAATCACCTACCTTTGCCAGGTACTGCATTAGATGTGAAGTGAGAATGAAAGTGACATAGGGATCTGCCCTCCCTAGTGTGCCAGGGGCCCTGTCTGGGTAGGTAGGCTACAGACTTCTTAGCACCAACTTCTTCCAGCTCTTCCCAAGTTCTAAGATTAGTTGTCATGTGTTTCTGCCTCCACCCATAGGCAAGTCGCTTCTCTTGTTTGATTCAGCAGTTGTTAACAAATCACTTCAACTGTATATTGTAGTAACCAAAAATTTTTATTAGGAAAATCATGATAGCATCAAGCAGTAGCAAGCAGACAATTTGAAAAACATTCACCACAGATGGCCTAAAATTGCAGCAGGTATCATCAACTCAAAAGGTCATTTTCTCCTTCCCTCCCATGACTCTAGCACTCCTGTCTGGTGTTCTAAGTGTCCAAGCTCCCCTAGTTGAGCTACTCAAAGAGGTTCTCAATCAAGAGGAAATAGGGAGGGGGGTAGGACCTGCCAAAAACACTACTCACAGCTGTTGTTTCATGACTGAAGTCCTAGATGATTTAGTAGCTACTTCATTTTTTACAAATTCCATTGACCAACAGCTTTATCTTTTGGTAGCTCAAGGCACAAAATAATATTTTAACATAAAAAAATAAATGTTTCACAAGCCCTGAGGTAAATATTGATCTCAAAGGGAGTCTACTTGTGCTTTTAGAAGAAAGAAGGGAAGGAGAGGAGGAAATAAAAATTGCTAGCCATGGCCTGAACAAATGTTTAGTGATGTAGGTCCTATCCTGAACAGGACACATGCATAGTTCATTTATACTGCCCTTGCACAGTAATGGTCCCTTGAGTGTTGGTGACTTGTCATACATTTTTCATGGCAACCGTTCCTTCTATCTCCCTGGATCCCCCTATTCTTACTCTTTTTACTCCCATAAGTCCAAAGGTAAGAGGGAGTAGTTTGGGAGTCAAGACCATCTCTCTATACAAGCAGATGCAGTGGCCACCTCATTTTGTTCAAGTGGGCTAGATCTTGGGTCCCTTCAATGTCTCCATTGCCTGGAACAGGTGAACCCTAGATTGCTCTGGTCTATTCTGGAAATAGGAGCGATGAGTGTCACATCCTACCTAGCTCAAGGTGGGTTATAGAGGATTCACACTGCCATATGACCACAGTCATTTTTTCATTTCATCATGACATTCTCTACCCTTTTTGCTTTCTGTCTTTACAGGTAAGGATGTGGGTCGATGCCTCATCCTTGGCTCCCTGGGATGTCACTTTTAGAACCTTCTCTCAGTGAATACCCTCTTCTCTCTAAATCCCTCTCTGGTCCAGAATATGCCCTGACATAAGTCTTTTCCCAAACCTTCTTGGGTGGTGTCCTTTCTTTATGTCTCTGGGGATAGGTAGATGGCTTAGTGGGTAAGAGTGCTAGACCTGGAGTCAGGAAGACCTGAGTTTCAATCCCACCTCAAACCAGCTGTATGACCCTGGGCAAGTCATTTAACCTCTTTTGGTCTTAGTTTCCTCATCTATAAAATGGGGATAATAACAGTACCTATTTCACTGGGTTGTTGTGAGGATCAAATGAGATGACATATACAAGATGACTTGGAAACCTTAAAGTGTTACATAAATGCTAGCTACTATACTACTTCTTTCTTCAGTAAAAAAGTGCGGACCCTTAAAATTCTGGAGGGTACACTCTGCTATTTGTACCACACATTACAAACACACATAAATTAGCATATAATGTTGTTGTTCAGTCGTGTCTGACTCTTTGGGACTCCATTTGGGGTTTTCTTGACAGAGATACTGGATTGATTCATCATTTCCTTCTCCAGCTCATTGTACAAATGAGGAAACTGAGGCAAACAGGGTTAAGTGACTTGCC